TCTGTCTTTCCTCTGAAATAAAAGGCAAAAAACAAAATATTTATACTTATTCTTAAGAATAGGTCTAAATATTTAGATTTAGGCATTTATTTATGAATAAATGGATTATATATAATGGCGAAACCAGATATACACTACAAGTAAAAAAAAAAAAAAAAAAAAGTAAGTAAGAAAGAAGTTTGGCAAGAAACTTTCTCTGACTTATGAAATTGGTGTTTATTGCTCTCTTTCAGGGATTTTTTGTGTCCATTATCTACTGCTTCTGCAATGGAGAGGTAAGTGTGGGTGGAACAACATTAATATTTTAAATACTGACACTTTAGCAAAGTTCGTATTCAAAGTGTTCCTGTCAACCTTTCAGTCAAAGACAAAGATTTTAATGTAAGTCCACAACATTGGGTTTTGCTCATGATCCTCGGTTCTATCCTAAGGTCCAGACTGAAATCCGGAAGACTTGGCTCCGTTGGACGCTTGCGTTTGACTGGAAGGTTCCTGTAGTTTTAGCGAACTACCGCTACGGGTCGGTCCTGAACAGCAGCGGCGCCAGCGTCCAGTCCCAGCTGACCTCTGTGACCCGCAGTTCTGCCCTCCTCACCAGCAGGGTGTACCGTTGCGCCGGTCGAACCAGTGTCAGCTCGCACACACACGCCTCGCATATACACACCACCTTGCCCGGGTACGTCTTCAGCAACTCGGACATTGAGAGCCTCCCGCCTTCGATTCCGGAGGAAAACGACGAGGAGGCCAAACACATCGATGACATCACGCTCAAAGAAAGCGCTAAAAGCGTTAACGGCATCACCGTACGACAGGATGCCCTCAGCATCTGTTTCGAAGAGAGTGGACAAAGCACAACCCACGTGGATTCTGATGACATCATAAAGAGGGACGATGACGCCACCCCTAAGGAAATCACTAAATGCACTGATGACATCACGCTGAAGGATTCTTTATATGTGAGGTACTACAGTTTGGATCAAGAGAAAGAGGAAGTACTTTAAAAAGCAGACTTAATTTAACGTGAATTGCCATTTGCAACCCATTTAGTTTGGTCAACGTAAAAGGAAAGTCGCCTCAGAAGAAAGAGCTTGGGGGGGAAGTACAACATGGATTGATTCATTGTAAGACCCAGAATGTGTATTAAGAAAGTATATGGGGTCCATTTTGATTTAATGCTCACTTGCCATTTGCAACCCATTTTACTTTCATAATGTGACGTATTTACAATTGAAACAGGATATTCAACAACAAAACAACTGGACATTTTCCTTCAGAAATGTATTGGATCTTTTAGAATGACATGCATTGATTCATAGTAAGACCAGAGCCCGTCTATTAGCCCCATTGTGTATCATCTTGGTTGCAGTTCCATTAGAATTCCACTGGAGGTGATCGCGGGCGAGTGCAGAATGAATGGGAGTCTATGGAGCTAGACGGCTAATTGTATCTCTTTCTCCTGCTTGTCGTTGAATCAACATAGATTTTATTGTTGATTCCGCAAGTTCAATATAGATTATAGGCCAAAAGTCGAATGAACGAGTACTTATGTCCTTTCGATTTCTTACAGGTTAGGCCGTTGTTGGCCGGAACACGCTAGCATTCTGCTATTATGTGACGTCATCACATTTTTTAAAGGGTTTTTAGAACAGATAAGTGATCTTAAAAATGCAATTTTCAGCTGAGTGTATTATCTTAGCCCTCCCTTTTGAATGCAACTTTCAAATTACTTGACAAAAAATTACATCCTGGGAAAAGTGGATTTCTGGGGGTGAAACCCCATAGACTCCCATTCATTCTGCACTCGCCTGCGAGCGCCCCCGCATGGAAAGAGACGTGTTACTGCAGCCAGTTCAGAACCCGGAAGTAACCAGACAGTGCCAATTCTCTTCAATTAGACATTCTCTGGTAAGACCCAGAATGTGTATTAAGAATGTAAATGGGGTCCATTTTGATTTGCTTACTTCAAAAATCAGTCATTTGCCATTTGCAACCCATTTTACTTTCGTAATGTGACGTACTTACAATTGAAAAAGGATATTCAACAAAAAAAACTGAATTTTATCCTTTCTGGAATTGAATGGATTGTCAAATTGGTCATACATACCAAAATGGAGCCAGACCTGAATGCGACTTTGCTGTGCCTAAACAGCACCGCCTAAGATGTCAGCGTAAAAGGAAAGTCACCTTAGAAAGAAGAGCTAGTTCTGGGGGGGGGGAGTATTTCTTTGGAATGACATGCATTGATTCATAGTAAGACCAAGAATGTGTATTAAGAATGTAAATGGGGTCCATTTTGATTTAATGCTTACTTCAAATTTTCACAATGAATTGCCATTTGCAACCCATTTTACTTCCGTAATGTGACGTATTTGCAATTAAAACAGGATATTCAACAAATAAGCCTAGATTTTATCTTTCAGGAATTGATTGGTCATATACCAAAAATGAAGCCAGACCTGAATGCGTGTTTAAGAATGTGTATTAAGAAGTTAACGGGGTCCATTTTGATTGCATCTTTACTTAAAAAATGATCACAAGCAAGTCAAACAGAGGCTATACGTGTTGTATAATGCATGAAAATACTGGTTTTGGTTTGGTTTGGATCAACTGGTTTCACTCATTTCTAGGCCTTGCGTTCAAAGCCCAGTTTGCGAGAAAGACTAATTTCTTTGCTGGAAATCAGCATCATCGCACTGCCGTACAAGATTTGCGTCATTTGGTAAATTAAGTGTGTGTAAATATTTCCTTCACAAAGTGTCACTGTGTTTTTTTGCGATCAAATGATGTTGTTCAGTCAAACAATGTGATTCATTCATTAAACTCAAGCTGAATGAATTTCTGTGCAAGTAGTTTGTAAAATCATTCTTACATGTTCTTAGTTTATGCAAGAATGCTTTTGCAAATCTTTTCCACAAATTCCTTCCGCTTGTTTTATGTTTGTAAAATTGTTCGCAAAACCATTTTGCATAAGTTGGTTTTACCAATAAATTTAGACAAATATGTGTTCTGCTCGTGTTTTATGAATGCGACCCAATGTTCAGAGTTCTGCTTTGCGATGTAAGAATTTGATTATGCTTTTAGTAAGACAATCAGTTGGTCGCTGCTTGGCATGAATGTTTTATTGTACAAATTTTGTATCGAGCTATTTTTTTACTGCGGTTTGCCAGTAAATGATTTTCTTAAATTGTTTTAAATGTATTAAGGTTTCACGCAAAGGTGTAATAAACGCAATTAATCATACATTGTATTTCAGAATATGAACTAACAATATAGCATGTGCATGCAATGTGCATGTCAACAAGAACACTTAAATTTACATTGTAAAATGTAAAAAAAAAAAAAAAAAAGATTTCAAGAACACAGAAATAAGTATATAACACATTGTAATATAGTTTAAAAAATATCAAAAAGATTTGATATAACTGGACTAAAAATCACAAATTTATATATTGCCAAAAGTATTGGGACACCCCTCCAAATCATTGAATTCAGGTGTTCCAATCACTTCCACGGCCACAGTTATATCAAATCAAGCACCTAGGCATGCAGACGCTTCTACAAACATTTATGAAAGAATGGGTCGCTCTCAGGAGCTCAGTGAACTCAAGCGTGGGAACGTGATAGGTTGCCACATGCGCAATAAGTCCATTCGTGGTAAGTCCATATTTCCTCACTACTAAATATTCCACGGTCAACTGTTAGTGGTATTATAACAAAGCGGAAGCAATTGGGAACAACAGCAACTCAGCCATGAAGTGGTAGGCCATGTAAAATCACAGACTGGGGTCAGCGCATGCTGAGGCGCACAGTGCGCAGAAGTCGCCAACTTTCTGCAGAGTCAGTAGCTACAGATCTCCAAACTTCACGTGGCCTTCAGATTAGCTGAAGAACAGTGCGTAGAGAGCTTCATGGAATGGGTTTCCATGGCCGAGCATCCAAGCCTTACATCACCAAGCGCAATGCAAAGCGTGTGATGCAGTGATGTAAAGCACACCGACACTGGACTCTAGAGCAGTGGAGACTTGTTCTCTGGAGTGACGGATCACACTTCTCTGTCTGGCAATCCAATGGATGAGTCTGGGTTTGGCGGTTGCCAGGAGAACAGTTTGGGGATGCCCCCTTCCTGTTCAACATGACTGCGCTCCAGTGCACAAAGCAAGATCCATAAAGACATGAATGAACGAGTTTGGTGTGGAGGAACTTGACCTCAACCCGATAGAACACCTTTAGGGTGAATTAGAGCGGAGACTGCGAGCCAAGCCTTCTCGTCCAACAGTGCCTGATCTCACAAATGCTTTCAGAAGAATGGTCAAAAAATCACATAAACACACTCCTAAACCTTATTGAAAGCCTTCCCAGAAAAGTTGAAGCTGTTGTAGCTACAAAGGGTGGGCCAACTCCATATTAAACCCTACGGATCAGGAATGGGTTGTCATTAAAGTTCATGTGCATGTAAAGGCAGACGTCCCCAAAACTTCTGGCAATATATATGTGTGTGTGTGTGTGTAGTCAACATTTGTCATGTATAATATCAACATATGGACATCTTCTAAAATGTAAACCCTTTTACGTATGTACAAATCTTTACAAATACGCAAATTATGTAGATGTGTTTTAACTGCATACTGTATAATGGAATTAAATATGTATAATCCAATTTATTATAAATACAATAAAATAAACATGAATTCCAGAAAGATAAACTTAAACAGAGGAGTCATACAGAATTCTACTTCTCTAAAGTTCTTACTATGAAAATACGTAACAATTCATATGTTGATATTGAATGTACTGTATCAATCCAAACGTACAAAATGAATCGATATGTCAATACAAACATAAAAAAATGCTATAATGTTGCATTTGAATACTTATGAAGACTATAGGTTCACGTTAAAATATGATCATACAGGTGATAATTATGATGTATATCTAAAGCACAACATGTTTACTTGTTCCAGTGAATACGCTAGCTGTATCTGAAGATTACAACAGGCCACACACATTTGTGAGATAGTATAGTTAAATGTAATTTGAATTTGAATAAGCTTCATCCTGAATAGCTGAATTAAAAGAAAGCATTAATAGACTCAAGTGTTTACCGTTCTGTACCCCAGGGTGCCCTTAATATGTCTTGCTCCGAGCTTAAATCAACTGCACAGCCATTTATGGCCCCGTGGGAGTCGGGTTATGTGTTCGTTCTGTGATTACAGTTATATAACCTTTCCCAACAGGGCTCCTGTTTAATCACAGAGAAAGTTTAGTTATAGAAAATAAATAATCAAGTTTAGGCTTACAACCGCAGGGTTAGGTGTTTCTACATATACATCAGTGTTATTCAGATATCATTTCCCTCTGATTTTGGGTTATTTTAGGACTTGTCTTTGAGGAACATGTCTTGCTTGGCAAAATCACGGTGACCAGAGATATTTACATAGGCTACATTTCAGCTATTTAACTAGCCTGGTTAAAACCAGACCATTCTCAGTTGTAACTGAGTTATGGTCTGGCAAAGCGTCATAGACAAATCATTTCCAGAGGGGCGTCACCAACGGACGTCGCAGATAGACCTAAAACCAATCAAAGCGATGAAGGAGATGATGTATGCAGTGCGGCGGAGAAACATCTCCGAGTGTTGTTCTTTGCTCGGTTTTTAACAAAAAGGAAACGTTCAAATCGCTTAAAACAGACGCGATAGCTGATTCGAACGAGTGTTGTTCGACGGCGGCATCCATCTTTGTAATGTAGGCTACAAAATCTGCTTCAAAATCCCAGCGCTGTCGTCATCATGAAAAGCCCGCCCCAACGTTTCTGATTGGTGCCTCGATTTCGACGGATTGGAAATGGGCTTGAATGAGCTCTTTGCCAGACTAACTTTCAGAGCAAATCTAAATTTGCCAGAAGTTGTCTGGGTTTTCCCAGGCTTCTATTTAACATGCCAGAAAAAAAAGAAAAAAATTAGACATTTTTACTTTCTCAGTTGCTTGTCATAGAAGCAATGAAATTAACCCTTTACCTGTCACCCCCCCCCCCCCCTCCCCCCTTTTGATAATTGACATTAAAATGCACTATACAAACTTAAATGGTTGTAG